TTGGACATTTTCAAACCATAGGCTACTTTTTGAGTCTGTCATTGGGGAAATGTGTTTTTTTTTTTTTTAGCGGAGCAGATCTTTTCAACCGGGAAAGACTTCCTCTTAAAAATCAAATTAAAAAAGGGGGGGGGGGAGAGAAGGAGAGTTGTTTACATGGTTCTTTATCACTAAGTTTATAAATTTCTGGAAATGGAGAGAGAGAAAGAGAGAGAGAGAGAGAGAAATACGTTTATGTAGACTATAGCCTAACTGTGCTCTTATTATGCATGATTTGCTAGGCCCAGGGTCACAAATATTTAGCCTATTTGTTCTTTAATACTAGAGAGTACATAGTAGCCATCTGCGGTGATATCACTTGGGATTGTTCATTTTGCATTGCCCGACTCCCGGTTTTTATAGTTGGTAGTGTGGTTTCTGTAAGCCCTTAGCACTAATATGTGAAAAAATACGAAGCAACACCAACACTATATCTTTTCTATATATTTGATCATCCATTTTTCAGATCTACATCTAGCAGCAATTATGAGTTATGTTTTCTCAATCCGAATTTCCTCTATTCCTCTGGTTATATAAGGTAATACTGAGATGAGTGCTTGTAGATAACCCATCAAATCATTCTGAGATACACATATTATGTACCGATACATGTAGTTCCAGTTATGCATGAATCATGTATCGAATTTAGTGCTGCACTTCAATTTAACTCTTGTGACAGATGGTGGTCTTTGGGTCTGTCATCGTTGTAACGTTGTTTTTATTGTCATTGAAAACTTTGTTTTATTATCAAAATTATTTTAAAAGTTAAATTGGTTTAAAATTTTGACTTATTAAAAGTGTTTGAAGTTAATATATATGTCCTAAAATTTTCCATTTAATGAATTATACTTATATGTTTTTAGAGTATTTCAGACCTTATATCTTATAAAGGTGCATTTAAGATCTTTTCTTTTCTGAAAATTTTTTAAAGTACAAATTTCAGGACGCGTTGGATTGACACATTTCACACTTCATAGAATATAATATCTCTGCATTTTCCTAGCCAAGGTTAGCATTGTAGTTGTCCACCTGTCTGTTTTTCCTCTAAATCTTGAACCTTGCCAATTACTTTTGAATGTCTGGTACTAGTGCTTTCATATTTCACTTGATAACAATTAAGTGGCAAGACCATTTTTAGGATACCAACATTTATTAATTTCTTGATTTTCTGAATTTGTCCTACTTTTGAAAAACTTTAACTTCGGCCATAATGATTGAGCATCATCAGTGTTTCACATTCACATTTTTTTTTGATTGAGGATTAACATAAAATATTTTGCTTTGGTGGTATTTCCACAAAATGCCTCTGCTTCTTTTGGGCCTGTTTTCATGTAAACTAAATAAATGCTTAATTTTCTGGTAACTGAATGATGAAATATGTAAGATTGGTTTTGCCTTAAAACATTGAGTTCAAATATCTCAAATTCAAAAAGCAAAATTCTATTGTCACTATACCCAAACGAAAAAATAACTACCGTTTTGTTTTTAATCTTAATAGTGATCAAAACAATGGCTGCAGATTCAGATGATGCTTTGTACACTTTCTCGGAAAGCCGCAATGTGAATACAGAGCTTATGAAAAAGGAAAAGGTAAATGCCCAAGTAAACTAATTATACTTAAGAAATCTTCAAATAAATCTAATATTTATTCAGGTGATCAAGCTATTAGCCTATTTAGAAAATGAAAACTGCATTAACAGGTTGGGGGGAAACGTAAATTCCGCTATAATAGTGGTATACCGCTATTATAGTGAGATTCCGCTATATTTTCAGCCGTAGTTGTCTTCGATTTCATCAAATAACATACTTGCTGTTTAAAGCGCAAGTTATGATGGCAATGAAAATGAACAATAATTGGCATCCTTAAATATTCTGAATTTTATTTAATTTTCTGCCGATGCGTTTGATAATGCGAACACACTTTTTAAAGCGGAAGTTACATTTTTAACATAGCAACCAGTGATTGCGGTAGTATTGAACAAAGACCGACTCTTAATATCTCTCTCACATGTGCACAAATTAGTGCTTGTAATAACTTTCAACCCATTTTGGAATAGGTTTGTCGATTTTACAGACGAAAAGATGATTTTTGCCTGCATGGTGACGTGTACGGAGGCCCGTTATGACAAACGAAAAAAAGCTCATTACATGTTTATTTTATTCTGATGAAACCGATTTGTATAGTTTTTGCAATAAATCGTAAACAATGATATAAGATGTCATTTCTGCAGGTAATTACATATACATTATATGACATTAGTTTCCGGAATGTTAAACAAATTTTTTTGAAATATTAATTTTTGTATTATGACAAGTAAAGTTAGATTAAAAAAAGAAAAATCTTTTTAAAAACTATTTCAAAAATTATATGTGTACGCGATTTTTGTTGGGAATATTTGGCGTAATTTCTCAGAAGAAACATTGGTGCTTAATACATGTATTATGATTAAACCACGTAATGGCGAGACATAAATTAATTAAATGTTCATTTAGTTATGATATAGCTGCAGTTTCCAAAAATAGAAGTATTTTGAAAATTATTAATAAAAGACACCAGGGAGTATGACATATCTGCTTCTTTCCTTAAATATTTTACTAGAGAAAGAGATTGATGGCAAACTAATAACTAAACTTACATGGTACATGTGATAACTACTTTTTCTATCGTCAACTTCCCTTGTTATGTAGCAATATACCATATTACCTGCATGTGGGATTAATGTCTTAAATTATTAATTGATTCGATACACATTACGAACAACAAGGGGTCTCTGTTTTAAGAGGGTCTTCCACCTATTCCCCCCCCCTCCTCACAAATCTACCTATTCCCGCTTGCAAATAACAAAATGAGTTGAACGTTCATTTGTGTTTATAACAATTATGTTAATTACATCACAACTTAGATATACCTGTGTTTTGTAGAATTTAATACACTTTAAGACAGAAAAATACAATAAATAAATCGATGAAAATGCAATGATTGATTTCACTTAATTTTGTACATTTTCTGACAGAAAATAAATAAATAGATGTAAGAAAAATATAATGTAATTCACTCAAATTTTTGCACTTTAAGACAGAAAATAAACTAAATGGGCTCAATTTTTTTTTTCAATTTGCTTGAAATACTGTATGAAATATGAAGATAACAAACAGTAATCGATCTCAAAAGTCCATTGAAACAATGCAAATTTTAAACAGAGCAAACACGAACCTCTTAAAAACATCAAAGATGGGATCAGGTGTCACGGAGGAGTGAGCATCCTCTGCCGACAAGTGTATTCCTTGTCGTGATAGGAAAAAAAACCGAAAAAATAACCGTACGCGAAAACAATTCAATGTGTATATAATGGCTTCTTTGTAGTTAAAAAAGCGGGCTTAATATTTTAGCGCTGTGGCGAGACAACGATGCACTAATTCATGATAACTATTAATAAATGAATTTTGCAAAGTCCATGCTCGACAGGGGATGCGTACTCCTCCATAGCACCTTATCCTACCTATTCGCTCTGCAAAAAAAATCATTGCTCAAATGGCCTTTTTTCGTTATCTTCATATTTCTGTTTCTCCTTGTATTTCGTTTATTTACAACAGAATAATCTACTTCTGGTAAATAGGATTTCATTGTTTCTTTTCCAGTGCATATCGTAGTTAAATTTAAAATTTCATGCAAGTTATACATAGGCAATTTCGCCACATATGATCCACATATGCATTGCTTTTCATATGAAGATCATATGAGGATCATATGAGAATCATATGTATATTCAATCATATGAGTATCATATGTGGCAAATCATATGTGGATCATATGAATACGCATATGTAAATCATATGAAGCAATATATAGAGGATATTCAATGTTTTGTAGATGAATATGGAATTTATTTCACGAGTTGGACAGGATTTTTTGATATTTTCACGAGTGCGAAGCACGAGTGAAAATATCAAAAAATCCTGTCTCACGAGTGAAATAAATTCCATATTCATCTACAAAACATTGAATTTTCTGTTTATTACATTTTCTTTGATTTTCCCTTTGCCCCTGTATTTTAACACAGTGTCATAAGCTTGACGTCATAGTTGAGCGGTTAAGACGTCTTAGCTTAGCAGTTGTGAGATTGAAAACATTACATAGCATGGATTTTAGCAATATATTTGGGAAGAAATGTGCAGTTTTAGCTCTATCAAGATGGTTAGTTACTATCTCTATCTTATGACAGGCCAGAAATTATTTTTTTTTACTTACTTTGATATCCTTTCACACTGTGAGAGAATATCATTTTGGTATCCTTTCACACTGTGAGAGAATATCACTTTTATTCAATAAATAAATCACAGTATTTCACAGTTGAAAATGTAATAAACATATGATACACATATGAAAGTTCCTGCATATGAGAATCATATGCATATTTTGAGAATTATCATATGAGAATCATATGAAACAGATCTGTGTGTGTTTATTTATTTGTCCTTGTTATAAGCAGGTAAAATTCATTTTTATTTTAATTCAATGAGATAAAAACATACGTTCATTCACTGTTAATCAGTTAACACTTGAGTAATTTCATATTAAGCTTAATATGAATAAGTTGGTGTTATATTTTAACAAGTAGACTGCATGATTAAAAAATAATTTCAATAACATATATCAAGATGTGTAAATTTAAATGTATATTTATTCAAAAGAATCAAGATGTTCATTTCCTTAAGAAGCTTGGATAAAAAAGGAATAAGTACTCTGTTACCCCCCCCCCCAAAAAAAATCCTTTCATGAAATTCAAATTTTTTTTCTTGAAAAACAAAATTCATCAAGAATAAATTGATTTGTATTTTATCCAAAAACCGTTATGATTGGATATATTTTACGAGTAAAATTAAAATCATTCCACATTTTATTTACGGACCGGTTTCGGTTTTTATCAGATGAAAGTGTACGTCATGTTTGACGTCACTTCTGCAGCAGAAGAGTTGGGTGTTGAAAAAAGTAAGTGATTTCGGATACGTTTTAAAAGACTTTTTAAAGGCCAGTTCATTGTGTTAAGATCATTTCATTACGGTAACAGATCCGTATAAACTTTCTAGTACTCTCATCACTTGTATATAATTGTTAAATTAATGCAGTTCGTAAAAAGCCGATAAACCTAGTGATCAATAAATTACTTATTGAATGAGTACGGTAATTTTGTTTGTTAACGACGAATGTTTAGGCCATTTAGCATCACTTATTTTTCAGATTTGTTTCCCTTTTGTTAATAGCTACGCTTGAATATTTATGTTCGATATGAAAGTGAAAGTAGAAACCTTGTAAAGCAGTTAACGTAAAATGTTTGTTGAGATCGTTATTCATTCGGTTCTTTCATCAAATGAATGAGAAACGTGTTTTAAATAATGTATTTAGGAACTGAGTTCAGTGTCACAGAGCTGTTTTTGTATTTTTTTTGTTTTGTTCAAAGAACCCCAAAGCTGATTAGACTGACGATTGAACACAAAGCTGATTTGACTGACGATTTAAACCCAAAGCTGGTTTGGCAGACGATGCATGATCACAATGCAGGTAAAAATAAATAAATAAATACATTAATCATCACAGTATATATAAGTAATGACTTAAACATATATCAAAAACTAAATAAATCCAACTCTTTTTCTATAGAACAAATCCAGCACACAAATAAAATATATATACATGTATAAGTATGAAAACATATGAAAATATGTAAGTCATATATTATAGAACTTGCTGGCTATAAAAACTATGAAGAACTATAAAACTATACATTATCTTCTGGGGGATAATGACTTTTAGCTTAATCAGACTTTCAAGGTACTATTACATGTGCATTGAAAGTACATTGTATACATTTTCATGTACTTTGGTTAATGATTTGGGGGTCTGCATCAAGCAGAAATGGATTATATATATTATATCTATTATTTTTTTTTATATAGATTAAAAATTTGCAGAGAGAATGTCAATTGGCTTAAAAAAAGATTTAACATCAACCCCTGGATTTCTTTTAAGGATACAGAAGTACAGGTATGATGAATATAAATGCTAGCTAACTACATGTATTTTGCAAGAATTGTGCATTTAAGTAGATGCACTGAGCATTTAAGTAGATGCACTCAGCATGTATGTCATGTTAAATGAAACTAATAAAGTTTATAGTCAATATGTATAATAGTGAACCATTTTTTCTTGAAGAATCTTAGTATGTGTTTGATGTATAGAAAAATAAGTGAAAAATGCATTGCTTTATTCATTCAGGAGATGCTCAGCAATCTGGCAAAGAAGGCTGGCTGGACATGAAATGTTATGGGAGTTATGTCTAGCTTTGGATCCACTGAATTCACATATTACAGAAATCAGATCAGAGCAAAGGTGTGCACACATTTTATTTATATATGTTACATATCATCCTAAGAAGTATCAAAGTCTATTGCTAAATTGAATTACCTTGTCAAAACAAAATTTTGCACTGCATTCCATTTAAGCTATACATTGTAAATTGAATTGTTTAGAAAAAAATGTTTTAGCTGATGGGTAACAAAGAAGTTGATGTAGAGGGTCCCTCCATTAAGTCTCTACATAATTATCGATGAAAATGTTTCCTTCCTCCTACAATTATGCTAACAAATCCAGAGAGGGAATACTTCACACTGATGCTAGTATGATGCTAGTATGAAAACAGTAAGAGTCAACATTTTAAATTGTAAAAATATTGATGTTAAACTTTAATGTTAAAATTTTGAGATATATATTTGTTTATTGGAAGGACATCTTTGCTAGTAAATATGATCAATGATAGAAAATTAGTTCATGTTTGTTGGATGTCACAAACAATTTTTCCAATCATATTCATCTTTAGAATCACTTGAGCCTTCAGCTCAGATAAGCTAAAAACAAGTACTTTCATTTTAAATGAAAGTACTTGTTTTTAGCTCATCTGAGCCGAAGGCTCACGTGAAGTTTTCTGATCGAAATTGTCCATTGTCCATCATCATCGTTGTTGGCATAAACTTTTCACATTTATGTCTTCTTCTCCAGAACCACTGGACTAATTTCAACTGAACTTGGCAAAGAGGACCAATAGTAAGGTACCAGTAGGGGTTCAAAGTTCAATCTATAGATTATATAGGGTAAAGTCTTTAAAAATCTGCTTTTCAAGAACTACACCACTACAATTTGTGATATTATTTTGCAAACATCCCTATGCAGTGTTGTTTCAAGTTTGTTGAAACAATGACCACTAAACCACCAGTGGGGCCCCTGAAGGGTTGCAAAGTTTTACATAGTAATTTATACTTGTGTATAGGAAAAAATTAAGTCTTTTTAACAAATTCTACATTGCTACAATAGTGAGGCCTAAGGAGGGAATCTTGAGTAAATTTGATCAGTATGGAACAAATATCAAAAAAATACTTTTGCAATTTTTTGTATTGACACACATTTCACAAAAGCCACTTGTGTCAGAGTTAAGTGAGTTTGCCATTGTTTGCTCAGGTGAACAATGTGGTCCATGGACCTCTTGTTATTATTATTAATGCTAATTATTTTAAAAATAATTTTTAGAGATTATTCTGTGCCACAAACAAATTGTTCAGAAAGGGGACATTGGTGGATTTGCATTTTGGGTACAGTTCAAAGAATTTTCAATATGATGATGGAAGATCAGAGGGAGGACAAATGGGAAAAGTTGACAGAGAAAGAAAAGAATTAGGAAATATCTGGAATAAATATGAATGAGAAGGATGTACTTAATTTTGTCAGACTTTGACATGCAAGGCTTTCTACATTTATATGTATACTGGAATATCATTTTGATTGTAAAATCTCATTCTAATGTATTCACATTTTATATTTCATGCTTTATGCATAAATATATAAACATTTTTATGAAAAACTATATATATGTATATATGTATCTTTGTTCGATCGAGACATCATCCTTTGTGATTTCATACTCATTTATGTGTTAAATATGCTGTAGGTACATGTAATCTGAATTACTTATGATTTGTCATAAATTTACAATAGAGACTACATATATTGACAAATGGTGTTGCAGATATTTCAATTTTGCTGAGGACACTTCCATGTCATATAGTATTTTTATACAAGTTCATGATCTAATTATGTTATTCATTGGTACATGTAATTTGTATACATGTTCATCTCCTTGATCATTTTGCTGAAATCCTTTCAAATAATTTGTACTCGTTTTAGAATATGTAAAATACATGTATCGACAAATGCTACTGACTTGTTTGTATACTTTCTTGTTTAAAGTGTGCACTGTGTGATATTAGTTATTTCTGTTGATGAAGATACTTTTGGAAAATTGTGCAAGCATTATCAAATATTTACAGGTATTTAACAGATCATTGGAATGTACTGAAATTTCATCTAAGGCAGAAATACCTGATTTTCAATGTGTACAAGTGTGTATTTCCTTTTGATAAATATGAAAAAAAACACATAAATGTTTCATATGTTATACATATGATGCCCATTTCATATGATTCTCATATGTAAATGACTTGAAACACAATAAAACTTTTCATGTGCAAATCATATGAAATTCTTTTCATATGATTCACATATGTGAATCATATGTGACTCATATGATTTGCTTCATATGATTCACATATGATGCCCTTTTTTTATGATTCTCATATGAAACCAATCATATGATTCACATATGATACACATATGTGGATCATATGTGGCAAAGTTGCCTGTATAGAGAATCAATAAAAAGTTAGAGAATCAATAAATCGTGCAGAATTTATTTTACGTCACGTCTACAGGTACATGTAATTCCATGCACAAGTGTACTTCTTCTTTTCTTGCTAAGAATAATCATTTAAATTCATGGATTCATCATCAAGAAGGGAAACATTATACACAAAACTTAAGATTACTTCGAAAAGTGACATATTATATATATTGCTTACAATTTAGACGACACAAATCGGTTCCATTAAATTGTACATGTGCTGAGCTTTTTTTCATTTGTCATAACGGGCCTCCGTACCCGTTACCATGCAGGCAAAAATCATCTTTTCTTCTATAAATTCGACAAACCTATTCCAAAATGAGTTGAAAGTTATTACAAGCACTAATTTGTGCATATGTGTGAGAGATATTAAGAGTCAGTCTTTGTTCAATACTACCGCAATCACTGGTTGCTATGTTAAAAATGTAACTTCCGCTTTAAAAAGTGTGTTTGCATTATCAAACGCATCGGAAGAAAATTAAATAAAATTCAGAATATTTAAGGATGCCAATTATTGTTCATTTTCATTGCCATCATAACTTGCGCTTTAAACAGCAAGTATGTTATTTGATGAAATCGAGGACAACTACGGCTGAAAATATAGCGGAATCTCACTATAATAGTGGTATACCACTATTATAGCGGAATTTACGTTTCCCCCCAACCTGATTAATGAATCATAAATATTCTGTCCATTTCAACTCAGTCATGGATCAGAACTATAAATTCAAGTGAGCTTTAATTTTTTAATTATGCAGCATCTGTCCATATGTCTTGCATTAGTTGTTCATCAATCTATAAATAATATGGTAAAACTTTTTTCTTTGAGCTAAACAGAACAGCCATAACTACATTATCAGTAAAGTATTGCACATTCTTAAAAGAGAGTTTCATTAATTTGAGACTGTTTTTATCTATGTCTGTCTTCCATGGAAGCAATTAATATATCTTTACTGTAATTTAAACTGCAATACCTCAAATAATTCCCATCCAAATATTATGACCATGTGTATGTTACAAATCTGAAGTAATCTTAACCTGTTAACCTTGTGTATCTCTTTCAATAATATTTGCCTCTGAGATTTTAATGGAATATCATTTATCAAATAGTTTCATAAAAAGAAATTGCAACATTAGTGAACTCAATAGAACATTTAGTTAAATTTTCTCAATTGTTATACATATTCATGTACATGTAGCAACACACTTTTCAAGGATGCCGATGGTGTGTTTCTCTGATAAATATATGCACACAATTATAAAAATCAAGTAGGCATGAAGTAGCAATACCCTAAGTCTTTGACCCTCTGATTCCAAGGCAAAGCATGCATGCTACACCTCTGAACTCCTACTGCTATAATTATTTATAATTCAAGGTTTACTGATGGTTTATTCGAACATCCATTTTTTCATGTAACAAGATAACTTTTGTACATCTTCTTACAAAACTTCAAATTTCAGTCAAAGTTATTTTATAATAGAGAAAGACACCTTTACTTTTTGAGGTCCATTCTCAGATTTCAAGGTTGTAAAGAAATAAACAACTTTTATGACAAAGTCCTGCATGACATTCAGGTCAAGTTAGACTTATGATAAAGGAATATATAATATGCTTAAATGTTTAAAAATATTAAAATCACTTTTCAGATTGACCTAGCTGCATTACGAGTTATACACAGGCAACTTTGCCACATATGATCCACATATGTGTATCATATGTGAATCATATGATTGGTTTCATATGAGAATCATAAAAAAAGGGCATCATATGTGAATCATATGAAGCAAATCATATGAGTCACATATGATTCACATATGTGAATCATATGAAAAGAATTTCATATGATTTGCACATGAAAAGTTTCAGTGTGTTTCAAGTCATTTACATATGAGAATCATATGAAATGGGCATCATATGTATATCATATGAAACATTTATGTGGGTTTTTTTCACATTTATCAAAAGGAAATACACACTTGTACACATTGAAAATCAGGTATTTCTGCCTTAGATGAAATTTCAGTACATTCCAATGATCTGTTAAATACCTGTAAATATTTGATAATGCTTGCACAATTTTCCAAAAGTATCTTCATCAACAGAAATAACTAATATCACACAGTGCACACTTTAAACAAGAAAGTATACAAACAAGTCGGTAGCATTTGTCGATTCATGTATTTTACATATTCTAAAACGAGTACAAATTATTTGAAAGGATTTCAGCAAAATGATCAAGGAGATGAACATGTATACATGTACCAATGAATAACATAATTAGATCATGAACTTGTATAAAAATACTATATGACATGGAAGTGTCCTTAGCAAAATTGAAATATCTGCAACAACATTTGTCAATATTATGTAATCTCTATTGTAAATTTATGACAAATCATAAGTAATTCAGATTACATGTACCTACAGCATATTTAACACATAAATGAGTATGAAATCACAAAGGATGATGTCTCGATCGAACAAAGATACATATATACATATATATAGTTTTTCATAAAAATGTTTATGTATTTATGCATAAAGCATGAAATATAAAATGTGAATACATTAGAATGAGATTTTACAATCAAAATGATATTCCAGTATACATATAAATGTAGAAAGCCTTGCATGTCAAAGTCTGACAAAATTAAGTACATCCTTCTCATTCATATTTATTCCAGATATTTCCTAATTCTTTTCTTTCTCTGTCAACTTTTCCCATTTGTCCTCCCTCTGATCTTCCATCATCATATTGAAAATTCTTTGAACTGTACCCAAAATGCAAATCCACCAATGTCCCCTTTCTGAACAATTTGTTTGTGGCACAGAATAATCTCTAAAAATTATTTTTAAAATAATTAGCATTTAATAATAATAACAAGAGGTCCATGGACCACATTGTTCACCTGAGCAAACAATGGCAAACTCACTTAACTCTGACACAAGTGGCTTTTGTGAAATGTGTGTCAATACAAAAAAAGTGCTGGAATAAATTGCAAAAGTATTTTTTTGATATTTGTTCCATACTGATCAAATTTACTCAAGATTCCCTCCTTAGGCCCCACTATTGTAGCAATGTAGAATTTGTTAAAAAGACTTAATTTTTTCCTATACACAAGTATAAATTACTATGTAAAACTTTGCAACCCTTCAGGGGCCCCACTGGTGGTTTAGTGGTCATTGTTTCAACAAACTTGAAACAACACTGCATAGGGATGTTTGCAAAATAATATCACAAATTGTAGTGTGGTAGTTCTTGAAAAGCAGATTTTTAAAGACTTTACCCTATATAATCTATAGATTGAACTTTGAACCCCTACTGGTACCTTACTATTGGTCCTCTTTGCCAAGTTCAGTTGAAATTAGTCCAGTGGTTCTGGAGAAGAAGACATAAATGTGAAAAGTTTATGCCAACAACGATGATGATGGACAACGGACAATTTCGATCAGAAAACTTCACGTGAGCCTTCGGCTTATTTATCATTTAAAATGAAAGTACTTGTTTTTAGCTCATCTGAGCTGAAGGCTCAAGTGATTCTAAAGATGAATATGATTGGAAAAATTGTTTGTGACATCCAACAAACATGAACTAATTTTCTATCATTGATCATATTTACTAGCAAAGATGTCCTTCCAATAAACAAATATATATCTCAAAATTTTAACATTAAAGTTTAACATCAATATTTTTACAATTTAAAATGTTGACTCTTACTGTTTTCATACTAGCATCATACTAGCATCAGTGTGAAGTATTCCCTCTCTGGATTTGTTAGCATAATTGTAGGAGGAAGGAAACATTTTCATCGATAATTATGTAGAGACTTAATGGAGGGACCCTCTACATCAACTTCTTTGTTACCCATCAGCTAAAACATTTTTTTCTAAACAATATAATTCACAATGTATAACTTAAATGGAATGCAGTGCAAAATTTTGTTTTGACAAGGTAATTCAATTTAGCAATAGACTTTGATACTTCTTAGGATGATATGTAACATATATAAATAAAATGTGTGCACACCTTTGCTCTGATCTGATTTCTGTAATATGTGAATTCAGTGGATCCAAAGCTAGACATAACTCCCATAACATTTCATGTCCAGCCAGCACCTTCTTTGCCAGATTGCTGAGCATCTCCTGAATGAATAAAGCAATGCATTTTTCACTTATTTTTCTATACATCAAACACATACTAAGATTCTTCAAGAAAAAATGGTTCACTATTATACATATTGACTATAAACTTTATTAGTTTCATATAACATGACATACATGCTCAGTGCATCTACTTAAATGCTCAGTGCATCTACTTAAATGCACAATTCTTGCAAAATACATGTAGTTAGCTAGCATTTATATTCATCATACCTGTACTTCTGTATCCTTAAAAGAAATCCAGGGGTTGATGTTAAATCTTTTTTTAAGCCAATTGACATTCTCTCTACAAATTTTTAATCTATATAAAAAAATAATAGATATAATATATATAATCCATTTCTGCTTGATGCAGACCCCCAAATCATTAACCAAAGTACATGAAAATGTATACAATGTACTTTCAATGCACATGTAATAGTACCTTGAATGTCTGATTAATCTAAAAGTCATTATCCCCCAGAAGATAATGTATAGTTTTATAGTTCTTCATAGTTTTTATAGCCAGCAAGTTCTATAATATATGACTTACATATTTTCATATGTTTTCATACTTATACATGTATATATATTTTATTAGTGTGCTGGATTTGTTCTATAGAAAAAGAGTTGGATTTATTTAGTTTTTGATATATGTTTAAGTCATTACTTATATATACTGTGATGATTAATGTATTTATTTATTTATTTTTACCTGCATTGTGATCATGCATCGTCTGTCAAACCAGCTTTGGGTTTAAATCGTCAGTCAAATCAGCTTTGTGTTCAATCGTCAGTCTAATCAGCTTTGGGGTTCTTTGAACAAAAAAAAAAAAAATACAAAAACAGCACTGTGACACTGAACTCCAGTTCCTAAATACATTATTTAAAACACGTTTCTCATTCATTTGATGAAAGAACCGAATGAATAACGATCTCAACAAACATTTTACGTTAACTGCTTTACAAGGTTTCTACTTTCACTTTCATATCGAATATAAATATTCAAGCGTAGCTATTAACAAAAGGGAAACAAATCTGAAAAATAAGTGATGCTAAATGGCCTAAACATTCGTCGTTAACAAACAAAATTACCATACTCATTCAATAAGTAATTTATTGATCACTAGGTTTATCGGCTTTTTACGAACTGCATTAAGTTAACAATTATATACAAGTGATGAGAGTACTAGAAAGTTTATACGGATCTGTTACCGTAATGAAATGATCTAAACACAATGAACTGGCCTATAAAAAAATCTTTTAAAACGTATCCGAAATCACTTACTTTTTTCAACACCCAACTCTTCTGCTGCAGAAGTGACGTCAAACATGACGTACACTTTCATCTGATAAAAACCGAAACCGGTCCGTAAATAAAATGTGGAATGATTTTAATTTTACTCATAAAATAAAACCAACCATAACGGTTTTTGGATAAAATACAAATCAATTTATTCTTGATGAATTTTGTTTTTCAAGAAAACAAATTTTGAATTTTATGAAAGGATTTTTTTTGGGGGGGGGGGGTAACAGAGTACTTATTCCTTTTTTATCCAAGCTTCTTAAGGAAATGAACATCTTGATTCTTTTGAATAAATATACATTTAAATTTACACATCTTGATATATGTTATTGAAATTATTTTTTAATCATGCAGTCTACTTGTTAAAATATAACACCAACTTATTCATATTAAGCTTAATATGAAATTACTCAAGTGTTAACTGATTAACAGTGAATAAACGTATTTTTTTATCTCATTGAATTAAAATAAAAATGAATTTTACCTGTTCATAACAAGGACAAATAAATAAACACACACAGATCTGTTTCATATGATTCTCATATGATAATTCTCAAAGTATGCATATGATTCTCATATGCAGAACTTTTCATATGTGTATCATATGTATATTGCTTCATATGATTTACATATGCGTATTCATATGATCCACATATGATTTGCCACATATGATACTCATATGATTGAATATACATATGATACATGTGTATTTTTATTTCTTGTTCCTTGTTCAATTGAACACCCAAGAAGGGTCCTAGGGGGTCATGCCTGACCATAACTCAAAGGCTTTCATTTTGAGGTTTAGTCTAATTTGGAAAAAAATTGTCAATTTTAACCAAGGCCCTGGTGAGAGATATGTGATCAGAGGGCATTTTCTCTGTGCACATTTTTATGAAAGTGATTTTAAGATGATTCATGTCTTTGCTTTTTATTTGAGTGTTTCTAATAAACAGTGGCAATTTTTAGAGTTCATTTTCATTGAAAGCATTTGGCAGAGGAAGACATATCTAGAAAAAGAATGAAGTCAAGTTTAATACTCATAGTGCTGTTTGAATGTAAATATAGTTTAAATGATGATGTTTATCAAGTTTTGGTCCAAACCTCCCACTTTTAATAAGTGTGTCAGTGATCATGAGGAACAGATCATTCTTGTTTCTTTGGTGTTGCCTTGATTGATTCTGTCAGAGAAAGGTTACAATTTTCAATGAATATTTTTCTGCACATACATATATATAGATATTTTAGGTCATTCACTGAGGCCACTACTGGACAGTGGGCAGTCTTGCAACCACATTGTCTGTTCTACAGTAAAGTTCTTTGAGTTTCTTATGTTGAAAACAATCAGATGGATATTACTGAATATGGCATAATTAGGCTGATTAGAGAATAACCTTAAAGGTTTTATGCTTATTTCCTAACATGAAGAATAATAGTGAGGAAAAAATATCCTATAGCAATATATATGTAATAGTATTAACTTATTTTCCTTATCAAGCAATCCAGGCACTTGGAAATCTCCAAGAGGGGGAAGTTTTTTGGTAATCATTTTGAAATTTTTGATGTAATTTCGTGAAATATTTTATATAATTCTTATATCCATAGACCTACTAAATAATGATTATCATACTTTCTTTTAAAATAAGGTAATCTACTCAGGGTATATTTATTTATTATTTCTGTAAAAAAGGGGTAATGCTATGGCCATTTGTAAGGTGTGCTTAAGCATTTTTTTGATGGACCATATCTAAAGAATTCCTTACACAATTTTTATCAAATTTGTCACAGGGTATCCTTCACCCAAGGGCTTTCATTTTTATAACAAGAGGCCCAAGGGCTTAACAGTCACTTAAGTATAATGTAACAATCCATAGATTAAAACAGAATAAGGTGACAAAAACAGCATGTTGCCCAAAAGCAAGATAGGTAGGATAATCAGGGATCAGCAAAATATTAATTTAGTACTCAATAACAAAACTTAAAAAAGTTGATCTATTTGTTTGCCTGTACTTTCCCCCATTTGTCAATATCCTCATGCGGACTAGACAAAACACTATCAGTTAACACATTTCATTCCCCCTCGCATTGGCCTCTCTTGCTCTTTAAAAATTATTTATTGTACAGATATATGGTATTTTTGAACCATTTTCATTTATCTATTATTTAAAACTTTTCCTGACCATTAAAAACTATGAAAGTACTTTTGTATTAAATATTTTGAAAATTTTTTGTATAATTCTGTTATTCAATTGACCTTTAAAGTTACATTATTTACAGTGATTGACTATTATAGGTGAATAGCAAAGGATAATAACTTCTTTCAGTAGAAATAATAAATTGACCAAACGGTGCAGAATTTCAAAATCATGTAAAAACATTCCTGCTTATTAAAACCTTTCATACTCTTTTTACCTCTAAGATGCCCAGGAGCAGAGAAGAAGATTTTCAAAGAAATAATTCATTTTCACTATAGATTCAATATAGCCCACCTTAAAGCCAAAGTCCGTGACCCAGGGGCCAAGATAATCACAATTTTGAAAGAGTTGCCCTTGCTCATCATAACTATATAATTGGTTTATATGCTAAATACCCAGGGACAGAGAAGTAGATTTCAAAGAAATAATGCACTCTCACTATATAACCAATAGAGTCCCCCACCCCACCCCTCAAACAGAACCCTTCACCCTGGGGCCAGAAAAGTCACAATTTTGGAAGAGGCACCCTTGATAATCATAACCATGCACCTAATTTTTCTTCTTTATATACAGGGAGAGAGGAGAAGATTTTCAAAAAATTAATGCATTTTCACTATTTGATCAATAGATCATTGAAGTTCTTGCGTTCAATTTTTTTTTTAGACCTCAAGAAAATGGCATGATAATTACATGTATTAATATTTATTTTCAAACAAATCTGGAATTAGAAAAAATTGCCAATGCATAGCAAGATAATAAAAATGATCACAAATGCACATCATCTACTCTAAAATTACACAGATTAGGTGATCGTGTTGAAATGATGCCTTCAACAAAAGAGCTGAATCAAATTTCAATTCAGTGCATTTGATTTTTAAATCAATAAGTTTCGAATGACAGGAGATAATGATATGTACAAATCAATTGCTTCTTGTGGGTTAACTGGCTTCTGCCACCCATGATTTTCCATTTCAAGATGACACAATTCAAATAAATCTTGATCACAAGGCACTTTAGACTTTTTGATGCAATGCTCTTTACACAAGTCTATTTTCATTTCCTCAACGTCCCACAAGAAATCTTCGGTGCCGCAAAGTTCAGGAAAATTGTACAACACAAAAGGTCTCCCGTTTGGCGTTCTTTGATTTTTCGTTTTCCTAATTCTGTGACTACTCCAGGTTTGTGCGACCATGTCTAGTTCATCCTGAAATAAATTGTACATGTAATTAAAACACACACAACAGCATAATATAAAGTCAAAAGATCATCAACAATGCAGATTTTGGCTATAATATTTCGAAGATTATCGATTAAGATACTGCATATCGTATACAACAGTCACGTACTTTTTGGGGGTGGGTCACCTTTGCTTTTTTCCAAACATTACTTTTTACTATTCAAACTGAAAGGGCGCCCCCTTTTTTATTGCGCTATAATCAAATTAGGGAATGGGGTAACAAAGGAATAAGATTTGGTTGTGAAAGAAGTACGGGACTCACTGAAACTAACTCCTCAACCCCCACCCCACCCCTCACAAAATAGGGTTTTCAAGTTTGGACAATTTTCATTTTTTTTTTTTTTGGTAAGTTAAAATATTTTTTCTCTGGCTGTACCTCCTTTCAAAAATGATGCTAATTCCCTGTACACTGCAAGTTTACTTTTATTACATTGTCGTCATTACCTGTATTATCTCAAGAAAGCAAAAGCGTATCAATTCCTGGTCAAGATAATCACCAGAGTAATGGCCATCATCCTTAAATGACTCGAAAACGTTCATCCAAAATTGTGCAAACTCTTTTCTTAAGATTCCCCACCAGCTTTCAATTCTCTGGTTACATCTGCTCGTCCCATACAAGAAGACACTGTTTGGGTTACATGTGGCATCATCTTCTCGAAGAAATATTTGTAGTTGACGAATAGTTCCATTTTCTGTACCCATATCCGCTCTTACTATTTTTGGACAACCTGCCATCTTCGAAACAGCATCCACAAAGTACCCCGCAATGAGTCGTGGGTTGTTATAGGAAGAAGCTGCCTCAAGCCATATTATTTGCCTTGAATATCCATCTATACAACCATGAATACATATTCCATAAGGCTTCAATTTGTCATAACCATCTAAATGCCAAAGATAATTTGGACCTGGATTCGAATACTCTCTGCGTCTTAAGCGTCGTTTGGTACGACATCTGACACCTTCTGGGTCAATGCATTTGAGAATGATTCGCACAGTTTCTTGATCTATGACATAACCGTTTTCCAAGCACTTGGAGTGCATCCATTTATATCCATGTAATTGACCGGATCTTTGAATTTCCATGCTTATAAAGTATCCAACATTTAACACATTAGACTTATTTTTTCTTCGATATAATCCTTGCGAGGAAGTAATCCGTTTTATTTGTCTAACAGACGCATTAATTCCATTGCACTGACTCAATATATGAGCAATTTCTGTGAACGTTAAACCCAATCGATAATAATTTGCTATAAGTATTTTCTTGTCCATCTCCGACATGAAAAATTCATTTGAATTATTCAATTAAATAACACATATTTATAAGAGAAAAAAAACAACAGTTTATTGAAACAAATTAGTAATTTGTTTTAACAAATTATTAATTTGTTATAACAAATTAATAATTTGTTAAAACAAATTACTAATTTGTTATAACAAATTGATAATTTGTTATAACAAATTGATAATTTGTTATAACAAATTAATAAAAAATACTGCTGCGGCCCTAATACGCTTCCGTAGGCAGCTGTAGTATTTGTAGTGTTGGCAATTTTTCTAATGGGATTATCACTAGTATATGTTTTCACCTTAAATTGAGCTATACAGTAATGAACTAAGAGAGTTAACTACCATTTCTTGTACAATATCAGGAGTCATGAGTCCACTAGTGGTCGTTGGTTCACCGACCAAGACTAGACTCTGGACCCCTGACATTGTGAGGCTGTGTACTTACTTGTCCCGTCACTTTTGATGCACGTGCACTGGCCATGGTAACAGGCCAGGGTTCCATCTGTACATTTCAGTGTACAATCAGATGTCAAGTGACACGTTTCACTGAAAACTGATTAAATGTATTGCAAAAACAAGACACCCAGTGATTTCAAAAACGAACGAAAAGACAAAAAAGACCAATGAAAAAAATCATGCAGTCAAATAATCAAAATATACATCTCGGTAATGAATATGATTAGGCGATTTATCAAGCATTTGAAAGTGAGAAAAAATATTGAACAGGTTTTCTTATTTATTCATGGACATCTATCACATGTATAAATATTCTGGATCCATGAAACTATTATAACACCTAAATGATGTGCAGATAAGTATGAGGCGCCATTTCTATATTTTTGAGGTATTTTTTGATATCAAAAAAAATAATTCTTGATATCAATAATTCGAATTCTTGATATCAAAAAATAATTCTTGATATCAAAAAATAATTCTTGATATCAAGAATTTGACTTTTTGATATCAGAAAATGATTTTCTGATATCAAAAAATTCGATTTTTTGATATCAAAAAATGATTTTCTGATATAAGGAAAGCAAATTTTTGATATCAGAAATTAATGTAGATTTTCTGATATCAGAAAATCGAATTCTTGATATCAAAAAATCATTTTCTGATATCAGAAAATCGATTTTTTGATATCAGAAAATATAAGTGAAATAAATAGAACTTACATTAATGAATGCTCCCTTATTCTGTATCAATGGTTAGTTTACTCGTTTTAGTGTCATCCTGAATACCGATCCTGCTGCAACATTATATGTTTTGTTTACTGTGATTAGTGTTATCACTTCATAGTTGTTTGTCTAGCCTAAAGCCTTGTGTTTTCTTAATAAATTTTTTGCATAGATTAATGCAGGGAAATAAATGAATATACATAAATTTATACATGCATTTACAATGCTGATAAGTTTGAAATGTCCGAATTCCAAATAAGTCTTGAAGCCTCCTTGAGTTGTAAAGACAAGAGATTCATAGGAAATGACAGTAGAAATGAATAGAGTAATTAACACTTCATGCATTCAGTAAGTTCTCTTTACATCATAAACACCGAAACTTGTAACCCTCATTTTGTAACATATACAACTTCGCCTTTCCACTAATTCTACAGAAAATAGTACAGAACCCAAACACAGGGGAACCCTAATTCTGTTCAAACAATCTTGGGGAGAACAAATTATCTGTATGAGCCTAAACACTAATATTTGTTGAATTTCTGATATCAAAAAATTGTGATTTTGTGATATCAAAAAATCCATTTGAATTTCTGATATCACAAAATGATTTTTTGATATCAGAAATTCGAATTTTTGATATCAAAAAATGATTTTCTAATATCAGAAATTCGAATTTTTGATATAAAAAAATCTCGCTTATTTTTTGATATCAAAAAATATATTTTCTGATATCAGAAAATCATTTTTTGATATCAAAAATTTGAATTTCTGATATCAAAAATCATTAATTGATATCAGAAAATACCTTAAAAATATTAAAACGGCGCCTCATAGATAAGACAGAAAAAAAAATCCCCAACCACAATCTAATTTCAAATATACATGTATGTATTTGGCCATCTTTAGGACTTTTTCGACTTGCTCTCTATATCTAGGCTTTGGGTGAGAAAATGTTATTATCTTAGTCAAAATAAATAAATAAATAAATTACTGAAATGTGACCCTCGTCAGCATATCTATCTATAAAATGTTGGTCCTCTTTTGTTGAGTCAGATTTCTTATAAAAACTGAAAAATGGGACAAGGTTTTGACAGTGGATTGAGTTTTACGTTTGCCTCAGAATTTTAGTCATTTGTTATCTATAGTGTTACAAGACGTTATTGAGAGTTTTTTGTAATACATTTTTCTAAAATATTGGATTAATAATATACTTAGTATAATATAATCTTTTGTTACTACTTTATATAATGACAATACCCCTTACTTTTTTATGATACATGCAGTTTTTGTGGATAACCTCCCATATATTTTATATTCATTTTATTGTCTGCTGTTGTTCAAAATTACTGCTTTTGAAAAGAAAAAGCCTGTATAAGATAAATATCAGTAATGGATTTTTAAATCAGGTGATATTTCTTTAACACCGAGTATTTCACTGTCTACTTTATATTGCTTGGTACAAAATATAAAAAAAAATAAGAGGAACTTTAACATTTACAGATTACAGAAGGCTTGGATATTTGCTCAGTATGAACAACACTAAGTGTAGAAAAATGGGGTTTCATTCTTCGCCCTACCAGCTCTTTCCCTCTGTCGAAATGTGTTTCCATTTTTCAATACTTTTGTCCCACGTAAAACAAAAGTAGACAGTGGAATACTCAGTATTTCTGAAGTTCGCTGGTTTTGCAATACTTCGATAATAAGCATCTACAATAGGCTTTCTGTTTCCAAAAGCACTCATTTTGAACTTTAGCAATCAACAGGAAGTGTACAAAGTAAACGTTAAGTTATTCATGACAACGGCACATAGCACAAGAAAGTACCAAGTATTGTCCTTAGATAAAAAAAAATGATTTCAAACTATAGATTTTTTATTTTTATTTTTTTTTAATATATCACGAAAAAAATTCTCAGTATATAATTTCTGGGAACACTATACATATATAGATAATGGTTTCATTTTTTAAAATAGCCATGGAAATGCAAACAATTACTTGATTTCTTTTGTACTGTCATAGTCAATATAGAATAAATTTTTGAATTCTGATGTTGAGCATGGTTGATTATCAAATGCTAAATATATTACCACATGTTAACCCGCAAAGTAGAAAGAAAATCAGCACAGTCTTCATGCCTTCAGTCTTAGTGAACAAAACAAACTGTGTTTCTTCGAAGTCTTATCAAAGCTAGGATGTCCTGAAGTCATGCAAGTTCAAGGACAGATTAAATTATTCACCTTGATATAACAATTTGCTTTTCGATATTTGAGGTTTTCCTTCACTTTTCTATCGACATATAGCAAATTCAATAAAACTTTTCATCAAAATTTTACAGGTACGTAAAATCAATTCTTTTTTCTTGGTTTATTTTGAAATCAGTTTAGTAATCAAAAGCAACGTAAAGACTATCTAATTACGAAAAAAAATAGTAGACTATAAAGATGCATGATTTATATCAAAAACATGTCATAAATACAATCAACATAGAAACTCCGTAAAATACATGTTAACATACATGTAGTTTTTAAATGAAATCAAATAATCAATTACTAAATAAATGTTGTTATTTTTTTTCAAATACCCTATTCATCAGATGAAAATAAAAAGAAAGTGTGAAATAATGTGCTGTAATAAAAAAAAGTCCTCTTCCTGTAGAAACAAACATTTTGTGCATTCGTATACAATGTACAAGTAAAAGTGGATTTTGAAATATTTGTGAAGAAGCATTTTATTTGAAGATCACCTGCAGACAAAACATACCGTATCTTGTCTGTAATTAGAGAAGCAGGATGTTTTAGTTGACAAAGCGCCATCAAATTTCAGAAAAATAAATAACAACCAATTTGTACTCTTTCATACTTTCATTTTGGCAGACTGTTTAATAAATGGATTACCAACGTTTGGTGTCGCATGAAAACTAATATTTTTATTGTATGTGTGCCTTTTTTCAATGACATTTAGCTAAGCATATTCATAACCAAGTCCTTATCAAGTGGAGATAAGGTTATGGCTCTTTAGATAAACCATTAAGCTCCGTCTGACAAATGTTTAAAAAACATCCATCATTATTTAATTTTCGGGTTCCTCTTGCTCTCAAATGTTTGTTCAATATAATTGCCTACTAGGTTGTTTTAATGCTTGAAATCATGTAAAACTGTATAATGCAGAAGCGCGTCAAATTGATAATAAAGATAAAGTCACCCCTCCGTCTGGAACGAAAAGTTGAAGATAACGATCATCATTCTTATAAACCCGTA